TAAGCCTCCTTAGCCAGCATAGTATCTGTGATGGAGAAGACGTGACCTTTGGAGACCACAGCCATCAGGGCTGCCAGAAAGGATGAGACCTGAAATCCAGCAGGATCACCGCGCTCATGCTTCACAGCGGCTAGCATGAGATGCTTCAAGTGAAATGCAGTGAGATCTGGGGTACTCCGATTCATTCAGTAAATCTCACCCAATCTCTACTATTTAAGAGCTACTCAAAGAACAAGTAGCTCCTTTCTGGAGCTCCTTTCTGGTTAGCTAATTATTAGCTAACCAGCTAATAATGCTGGTTATCAGCATTCATTACAACTTCTCCAGATACTCGTGATACATATACAAGATACTTGGTTTTGAGCACTGCCATACAGCCAGTTCCCCGCTTCTGAGAAGGTATTTATTGTCCATTATCAATTTTAAGTCTGCCATCCTTAAACTTCATTAGATACTTCCATATTCTTGTGTAGCACAGAACTACAAGTCCTTGCTCATGCTTCCTGTGCTGGAACAGGCGCAGAGAGACCAGGAGAACTGGTGTGCACCAAGAACAAGCATCTCACAGCCTGGGAGCACCATGAGCAGACCCCTTTTTAAATCCACAAAGCATCAAGTATCTCTGTGGTACTGTATGAGTAACGGTAATAAGCTGCTCCTAATACTCCAGCAAAAACCCAGTAAGCATAAGTTTAAAATCAAGCACATTTTCTTCTAACACGATTAACAAAAAAAAAATAAAAAACAAACAAACCCTTGCAGAGGTTACCAACATTCATCAACAGAAACAGTGAATTTTTTCCTTTCACTAAAGAAAACATGACGTTCAAATTGCAGAAAAGGCTAATTTACCAAGGCAAGATTTCTCTTTTCCGGATGCTGTTAAGTGACAGAGAGAAGACTCTAAGAACAGACAGCAGTAAACACAACCCCCTTTTTTCTTCAAATCTCAGGCCCAAACTGGCACTTCTTGTAGAAAAAAAAAATTAGCATTCCCACTGCAGGAATCAAACCTGTTTCATGCGAGGACAGATGATCTAAACGGTCTTTTACAGGTCTTACCTAACTTACCTTCTTCGAATTTACTGAAATACACACACTACCCATCTATATCATTCCCAGCCTCTGCAAGGCTCATTAAGCTCACGGGTGTTCTGAAGGCATCGTTTTCAGACAGTGCAATCTATGAAATATGAATCACTACATCCATGCTTATTGCAAGCGCCCATCTCGGGGCTGCTGTGTGAGAGCAAGGAGTCAGACCTGCAAGGGAAGAACGCCGCTGCCCCATCAGACAGTGGGATGACAGACTCGCTCTTGTCCAGCTTTTATTGCTTTTGGACAATGGTCAGGGAAAAGTTTGTTTATTTTAATTTATGTCTTCTCTGTTTTACTTTTGGCCCACGAAACAGGGGAAACTGCAGCAGAAGAAAAATACCTAATTTATACGTTGGAAAAGACCTTACTTTGAACAGGTTGATATGGGAATCCTTCATTATGCATATTTTTTAACTGTAAGCTGCTTCTACAGAAAAAAATTAAGTAGGTGATTTAAAAAGAGACTTCTCACGTAAGGAATAGCTAAGCAGTATTGATATAAGCTTTGGCATTATTCCTCCTGGAGACTTGTTCTAGTGTTTTACTATCCAAAATAACCCTTGGGACTTTTGCGCAGCCCGAGCATGTGGAAGGGCTCATTGACACGCAGAGCTCAAAGTGCAAACACGCTGCACCAGCAAGGGCAGCCTCTGGTCCGAACCGCAGCTTTAACTCTCAGCTGACGTATCAAAAACTCACTGTTCAACGTGCCTGAAGACATTCCTCCTTTTTGCCCTCACCCTGACCTCCCTCCCCTTGCTTCACCTGTTTTTGCCTTCTTAGAGAAACACTTAGTAGGGTCAACATGAAAGAGTTGCTGCTCCAGTAGGTGCCAGCTCAGGTGATTATTTTGGACAAACTCAAGCCAAAGAAGTAAAACAGAAGAACTGATGGGCAGACTGCCAAAGATATTAAAATACCTGAAGGTCCAGACAGGCTCCCTGAGGGAGGTCCAAAAGCACCTAAGCACTTCGGTCCTGTGGGCTACTTCAGCAGTTCTGTGAAACCTTCTGTAAGGACACCTGGGCTTCCTAGATTCAACCATTCTCCAGACCCACCTGTATTTGGCTGATACCATTTTAAAAGCTGATTTTACTGTAATCAAGGGCAAGTATCTTACCTGGAAGACTGGAGTTGAGACTCTTAGCTCCACCCTTCTGGCGGCTGTAACTCACCTCACTCTCCATCAGCCTTCAGCACTCATCGGGAGAGCAAGACTTTTGCCACACTGGATTTCAGCCACCGCTACCGATTGCTTCCCCAGTTGACTCCTCCCTAGCTACAAAGAAGCAAACAGAAACACAACCTCTCTCCCTAGAGCTGAGGACCAAAAACACTGAGCGTGGGGATTTCAGCCTGGCAGATCTAAGATTCAGAAGGTAAATTCTCCATTTCAAAGATAACTGAAGCTGCCAAGATCTTCCCAGATGTTTACCCAACTATAAAACTAGAGGAGCGGTAAGAAACGTGAACCACAACTGCACAAGTCCTTTGCCCTGCAGCAGCTTTCATGCAGGTTATTTCCCCAGTTGAGTCCCCACCACACCATTTTCAAAACTTAAGCTTGCTTCAGTAAGGGAGCAGGCTGTTTCAGTGAGATACTCCGCATTCGCAGGCCCTCACGCACTCACAAAACAGCTGAAACACCTCCCAGCATCTGGGGGAAGCACGTTAAGAAAAAAAAAAAAAAAAAAAGATTCCCATAAAGCAAACAACGCCCACCCAGCCTGGAAGAGTGCCTACAGCTAAGCTCATGTTAAACAACCATTGCTAAGTTTCTCTTACTAAAGAAAAAGATGGTACTTTTGCTTCCTGGGAAAAAATTGTTTTAGGCGTTTTGAAAGGCTCATTAATCTTGCAGGTGTTCTGGGGATGTCTTGGCTCCAGCACCACAGCGAATATCCCACGCTGACTCTTCCCTTGTTGCTCAAGTGCCAGATTAAAGCTTAAAATGGGGAATGGAGATCATGTCGTACACGGAGACCCTGGGAGAAGAGGTGGACGCCACAAGGACCGCCACAGAGGTGCTCTCCTAGCGATGTCCATTCGGACACCGACAGAGCAGGCAAAGTAGAAGTACCCAAGGGCACCCAAGAAATGACGTGGCTTGTCAAAGAAACAGAGAGTTTATGTCAGCTCAGTAGCCAATGCCACCCAGCAGCGGGGAGCCGTACGCCAGTACTGAAGGGAGACGTGTGACTGAAGTGGCATTTTCCCTCCAATCTAAAGGAAAGGAGCAAAGACCAGTATTTTCACTGGGGCTAATCCATCACTGGCAGATTGATCTTACCCAAGACCTGTTCAGAGCAGTTTCACTGCTGCCTAAAAACCTTTTAATTTCTTGAAGTGCAGCCGTTTAAAGCACCTTCCCTTGAATCGGCATATTTGGGCTTTGTTGGTGGGTTTTTTTTACCCCCATCAGCAAGAACCCATTCATCTTCAGCTCCTCCACGACAGGCACCACATTCACCTGCATGTTATTTCAGGAAGATTCCCAAGGCAGCCCGAACAGGGTTCAGTTGCCTAAACAAGGGTTTCTAGCACCATTTTAGGTGCCAGACTCCCAGCTGCTGCGACAGAAGGCCGTGTGTCTCCTCTGCTCATCTGTGCCAGCACATACAGACGTGTCTCATCACTGGGGACAGCTGAAGGGGCACAAGACCCTGAAACTGGGCACCTGGCCTGCTCCCTCCATGTCCTGCACAGCCCAGGAAGGCAGCGTTCATAATCTACTGTTCCTTCCTGAAGCATTTCTCTGGTGTATAAAATATCCCATGTGCACTGATCTGAAGTTTGGGAACGTCTTCTAGAAGCACCGAGTCTGTCACCCAGGTCATTTATCATAAAATATGGCCAAAATGAATACCGGTATTGAAGATGGAGATCATGATTTGCAACTTAAGTATTTGCAAAAAAAAAAAAAAAAAAAAAAAAAAACCCAAACAACCCAAAACCAAAAAACCACCCCATTCTGAAATACATAAACATTTGAATCCTAAAGAACAAACATGTGTGCAAATATAATGGAAAAGGGAAGGATTAAGCAGCAAGCTTTGGTCAATATTTCCCTGCAGTTGCTGTTAAAGTCTCTGATGAGGAGGCAGGCATCTCCAGCAAACAAGCTGTCAAGCAGGCTTCAGTCAACCAGCTCCATAAAGAGAAGAGGATTGCTGGATAGAGCTAGCTGCAAATGGTATCTCTGAGCATTTATATCCTTTGCTGTGCTAACCCTCAGTCAGACTGGAATTTTCCAATGCAATCAATCGGATGCTTGATTTCAGGTGCCTCTCTGAGATGCTTCAAAGCAAAATCCCCCCCAAACTCTTAAAATGAAGCTTCAGGAAAATAAAATAGGATCTTTTGAGGACTCGAGCCAGATATCAAAAAGGACAGGCATGTGGAATCCCCAAAGAATCTTTAAAGCCTCAGCTGAAATCCTCCTTTAGGCTCTGACACATGCACTTACTGCTTCTAGCAAGAGAAAAATGCAACAAAACCACGGCACATTGTCTAAGGAAGCATATTGTAGGAGACCGGTGAATCAGATGTGCTGTCACTGCTTTAGTGTCAATTACTGCATTTGTGGCTGATCAGTTTGATAGATTCACCTGCATACAAAACCCATACTATGCCATCTCATCTGTAAACAGTTTTGAAGCAATTGGGCAGCACAGTTAAAAGGGAGGTGTCCCTCACCACACATTATTGTCTTTCAAGCATTAGCAACGAAATTTAAATTTATATTCATATGCAAGAACTAGACTCCTTACATCCTTAACAAACAAAACAAGAAAAATAGAAGAACATTTATCTTAAATTGTTAGGACTAGTGCAAAGCATTAGGTTTATGCTACTACCATTTCTGAACTCTCCATTTCCCTTTCACCCAGCCCTTTATTTACCTTGAATCCCCAAAGGACTAATATTGCCTCTCAATGCTGGCACATGATGGTACCGGTGTGGCCTTGAACTCCTGTACATCCAGTGGTACCTGCCAATTTCCATTTCTGGTCTGGTGATCACTGCCAATTTTAGGTGGTAAAAAGTCAGTGTCACCAGCAAGTTTTAGTTCAGTACTTTCAGTCATTTAACTTTAAAAATAAGAGCCCAGAAAAACACGCTGTAGTTTCAGAAACAATATAACCTTATAAACCAAGGGAGGGGGTGGAAAGGACTATGGACAGGGAAATGCTGACAGAGGTGTTAAGAAAGGTTGAATAGCTAAAACTCCACCTAGGATTTGAATTAAACACATAAGGAAGGACTCCCTATTCCTCCCCGCTCCCCCCACTCTCACATCTCTCTCTATCCATGGCAGAGCTCTGCTCCAGAAGTAAAGGAAGACAAAGTCATGGAAAACCACATTACCTGTTTTTTTAAAAGACCCTAAATCTGTCAAAGAAAATGGTTATTGTCATGTGTAGAGGTAGGGCAAACGGGAGTTTGCTCCATTACTTTCTTACATAAAAAACAACAAAAAAATTCATGGGCTTTAATGCACATAGGCTCATGTATGTTGAAACAGACTTGTCCCAAGTGTACAACGAAGGAGAGCAGTTATCCTTCTCCTAATCTTTTCAGAGGACTGACGAAGCTCAGCAGTGAGACCCCACGTGCTGTAACACACTTGATCCACTCGCACACTCATTGCACACTCATCAGCACAGGCTTCCAAGCTCCCTGAAAGAGGCCAATGGCAAAACATCAAACTACTTTTGAACCTACGTGCCCTCCCTCGGTACTGCTATGGCTTTGTTAGGCTGTCAGAGAAAGGTAGACAGACAAAAAAAGTAATCGTCATCTCCAGCCAAAATAAATCCAACTCAGCAGCATTTCGCCAGGTGGAGGAAGTGAAGGTTACAGTGCTGAAAACCCATCTGCTGTAGACTTGGTCAGAGATGAATTTTGGGGGGCAGGGGGAGTAGGAATGCCATAAATTTCTGGTCTGTGAGGGGCTAGGAAGGTCCTCGACCTGGTCCCTCTCTTATGGTTTTGCTGCTGGTGCAATGAGGAGTCTGGCACAGCCACATTTACATACGTCAAGAAGAGAAAAAACCTTGGCCTCAAATCTAAATGTTGGATGTAGAGATTTGAAACAATAATTTGTTCGTCTCCTACACCAGCAAATGAATTCCAATACTAAAACAGTCTTTTGGGTTCGGGATGCAAACTTAGTATCAATGGCTCCCTAAAGGATACTTGTGGCTTGGTACTTCTCCCCTCTCTGCTACTCACGCACCAACCAGCAAGCAGGTATCAGGTAGTATATTTTTCCTAAAAGACATTATTCTGTTTTGTATGCTTTACCCTTTCTTTTAGGAAAGGCAAATTCCACTTCTCATGAGCATAACCAAATTCAAAATGTGTTGAAAGTATTGTTCCAAAATGACTGTGCACATTTGGGATGGTATCATCTCCTTTTGCTTACACAGGAACAATCCTGTTTATGAGATCACAAGGAACGCCATAATAATTGAACAGGATACAAAATGGAAAACAACAGAATTCCTTGCTAGTTCTGCATACTGTCTCCCCCCTCCATCCCAACTCTGCTCCCTGCTTTTTTGAAGCTACTTACTGGACATCGGTAACAGATTCAGATTTAAAAATAAATAAATTAAAAAACAACCAGCTGCAAAGACTTCCAGGAAGAAAAAGAGTCTTCATTTGCACTGCAGCATCTAGACCAAATCCTTGACACCAAAAGGATTTTATCCTACCAGGCCTGAACCCACAATTTGAGATTTCTCCTGCAGTGGCTAGGAAACCACTTGCTCAGAGCAGCAGCGCAGGCAGTTGGCTTTCTCCCTTAGCTGGGGGGGCACCGGTGAAGTCACCGCTCTCTGCTGTGGGACCAACGTCAAACCCTGAAACATGAAGACAGCACGTAAACTTTGTAGCATCATTTCTGTAAGTGAAAATATTCTATGAAGTTGGGTTTTTTTAATTAGCAGTTTCTGGTTTTGCAGTAACAGGGCTCCCCTCTTTAGGAGCCGGTTCAAACTCCATAAGGGATCTCAGTTTTTCCACTGCTCTGCGAAGAGCCACTTAGCAATGGCTGTTTGGGAGCCCTTACTGCACGCCTGGCATGACATCTGAAGTCGAAGAGCATCTTCTGGTGATTTCGCTGGGACCCACCCAGGCCCACTCATGCAAAATCTTCACCAGGACAAAAACCCCGCAGGCTTCAGTGGCATAACAGCTCCTGCACACAGTACGTATGAATTAGAGTTTAACTCTGTACCCTGGGTACTTAGGAAAGGAAACAGCTTTAAATTACTTATTTACCTTTTGCTTTTTGAGGAACTAACTACACTAATTGCATTCCCAGGTCTAGGTTGCAACACCCTCCATGCACAGCCCAGCTCACGCATCTGGAGGCTGAAGCAGGTTGTGCTCGACCCTGCACAGACGTGCCAGCTACAGAACCGACGTCTTCACGTCACGCCACGCGGGCACACCGATGGCGACCGTGGGGTTCAATAGTTATTGGGACGAATCGTCTTGCACACCTGTAATAAAATCCCCAGTGCCCAACACCCTCATGCTTGCTGCCTTTAGCGTATGGTTTTAGAGGAAACAAGCAGTTAGGACGTTCATCTGTCGCAGCTGACGAAGCGGGAGCAAAGAGAGGGTTGTCCTTTGGTCATTTATGATCTGGCGATGAATACTGCATTAGGAGCAAGGCTGGCCAGAAAATGGGGAAGGGTCAGAGAAACCAAAGGGGACTTCCCCAGCCCTCCTCGCTCCCCTCTTTAGCCCCTTTGCTCCCACTGCGGAGTCCATTGTGTACATGCAGTGCCATCTGGGCTGCCCCCCACCGCATCCAGTGGCACATATGTCTAGGTTTTCTGTTTTCATGAGGTCATTCAGACCAGTATGAGTACGTTCGCTGAGTGTTTTTCAACCCCCTCCTATTTAGAAACCAAATCCTATTCATTAAAACCTAAATCACTAAGCCTGCCAAATTATTATCCCCAGAATATCGCGTGTCCCAGATTCTCCCTGGGCTGGACCTCTCTTTCTACAGTCGTATTCTTCAGGGACTTATACTTAAAGCAGTTGCTGTTTTCAGGGGATCTAAAACACCAATAAACTGCTTGAAACGGAAAAAAATATGCAGCATACTAAAAATCTTTAAACGGCTTGACAGCTCGGATATCACTGTGAGAGCCTAACATTAAGGGGGTACATTTTGATTAATAACTGTAACACGTATATAAAAAAAGTAATTTTTTTCAATTTGCTGTAACGAAAAATACATCTATCTGTGATGCATCAAAATGTCATAAGCTCACTGTGTAAAAAGAACTTCACTAAAAGTGAAATAAACTGCTCATTAATTCACTCCTTTCTTACGCTGCATTTTAGCAGCTTCACTTACACTACCGCACACAGTTGTACAGTTGTCTTGAGAAGTATTTTCTTTGTATTTTTGAACAGCATATATTTGTCTATTTAAAGTTTAAAAGTGGAAAGTTTGCTTCATATATGATAAAAATAATAAAGCTCACAACCACTCCTGAGCACGAGGTTTTCTTTCATTGAGAGCTCATTAGTAGGGAAGAGCCAATTAAAAGGAACCTTTGGTACAACTGGTCAGGCTGGCTTTCATTATTCCTCAGCACAGCATATACAATTTGAACATCGTATGCATTCATACAAGGAACCTATATCCTAGTGTAATGGTCTTCCTTCCATCCTCCCATGTGTAACTGGTGAATTCACCATGGTCATCCACAGTTGGGTTTTACTTTGTCTTTTGAATTTTGCAACTTGGTAGTATTTCTCATAGTTAAATTAAGAGGGAAACTTCTTGTCTCTGTTAATGTATATCAGGATCTATATCCTTCACTGCTGATGCAAAACGGCATTTCGTTTTTCTTATTTATTCCACCTCAGTAAATCTGCCTGCCCAGTCCTCACATTTTGATTTAATTTAATGGCTGCAAGATAAACCCTGTCATTTGTAACAATTTGTAAACCTTCATCTTTAAAATGCATCCAATCTGTCCTGCAGCCCTGTAAAGTATCTGTTAAACATTTTGCTTCGGCTCGCTCATGGTGTTCTCCTCTGATAAGGGCTCCTGATACGCAGTATAAAGCTGACTTATTTCTTATCTGCATCAACATGGGTGTTGTTCCATTTCCAATTAAAAAAACTGGGGCAGCAGCCACTCATCTGGGTGCAGAGAAACAAATGTCTGATAAACACTGAATCCATCAGCTGGGTAATATCACTGCCTGAATCAGGCAGGGGATTCATGAAAGTAATTACGAAAATATAAAACTGGAATTCATATACAATTTAGCAAACTTTAAAAATCTAAGTTCAATGATTTTCATTTATCAATCAGTAATTATTCATAAAGCACATTAGCTTGCTTAAATTGTCTCAGCTATGCTGCAATCCAAAATAGCTGGCCATCCACATTTGCCACAGGGATGGGAAACATAAACCAGTACCTATGTGACACCACTGTTCAGATCTGACTGTATTAAGTGCTCGAACTGAAAATAGATCTCGTTGCTCATTCCAAGTGCTTGAGCAGTATTGCTCTCCAGCATTCTCCCGAGTACAGGGAGCCCTGTATATAGGCAGCATGTAGTCCCAACTCAACTTCCTCCAAGTATTTATTCTATACAATTACAGTACATCCTTGAGGAGGTCCTTGCATTCAAAAACACAACCCAGAAACCTGTAGTTTGAAATTCTGGTAAAGGGAAAAACCCTCTTAGCTTAAAAGTATGATTTGCTATTATTTAAATGCAGATACTTTCCCCAGAACTCAGCAGTGCAAAGCATACTGTGTGTGAACCTGAATACCCAAAGTGAAATGCTCAGGATCTTCTCTTGCTCAGTCTTAGCAATAGCGACATCCCCCAAACTCCTTCAGATGTCGTTTTATCTCCTTAGAGTTTGCAATTCATTTCTGGGAGGAAGAGTTAAAAGGCTTTGTGATAACACTTCGACTGCTTCAAGCTGTGGCAGTTGCCTTGCAATCACTGGGTCTAGGGCATCTCACCAAGGACGCCCACTACACTAAGTCCAGGTGGGATCTTAGAGGAAGAAGCAAATGTTGCAAGCCTGGCAAGCATGTAAGGCACAGCAAGCAAGAGATCCGGTCCAGACAGTAAACGGACACATTTTTAAAGGGGTCAGCTTCTGTTTTGTACCCCAAAATGAAGCAGCGGCATTTTCCTCGAAGTTCTTCACACAGAGAAAAAGCTCATTTTCCTCCATGAGAACTGCTGGTGAAAGAGCCCTTTTGAAAAATCCTGCCATTTCAGAGGTACCTGATGCCTGCTGAGCCCATCTAAAAACCCGACTAGGCTCAACAGTCTTAGCACTTTGGAAAATCTGTCCCCCAAAACCGAATCACCGCTTCATGGCAGTAACTTTGCAGGGGGATTTGGGCTATTTATTTCGCTATTGAAACTAGGAGTAGGGCTGCTTCAGCTTTCTGCATTTTAATTTGCTGTGAAACATATTGGGAATTTAAGTGAATAGAAATAAAGAGCATAATGTGAGAGACCATGTGTTGCTTTCAGAAATTAGGAAACTGGCAAGAACAAAGCCTTGAAGTGTTACATACACATACCTATGTAACAGATCCACAGTATAAAATTACCACAGAAAAACTAGGAAAGGGTGGTAAAATTAAGATAGAAGTTCCCCTGCTTGCATCCTATGAAAGCAACAGATCGACCACCTTGACTTAGTAACAGATTTACTGTTCTACATGTTGTGCTTTCATCCTTGCCAAAATAAAAGGGAAACCATAAACTCATCATAAACACACTCAGCAACACATTTCGTTTTGCACAGCTGCTAATGCATACAGATAACTTTCTTTGGTGTTTATGGTACATGAGTTCTATCAGTTTAAAAGAAACTCATCAGTCAGAAGAAAAAATTGCTGTAATTTTTGAAGAATGATCTACGAGTTCAAGGTGGTTTTACAGTCAAGGTATTTAGGGCATTTTGTACATTAATTACTCAAAATCTGCAGTGAGGTGGGTTATTGTCCACATACACTAATGGCTTTCAGAGTTTAATCTCTCATCAGTGGACCTCCTTCTGTGAAATCCCTAAGGGATTATGTAGTACTATGTCTAATCACCTGACAAATTTCATTTACTTGAAACTGAAGCTAGGTTTGAATTATACAAAGTGTGTAGGAGGAATCAGATTCAAAGTAGGAAAACAAAATCTGGTATTGGACAGTACTGGCGTTTATCATTACATTCATATCTGAACTGTTTAACAATAAATGAAACCAATTCTACTTGGGGAAATGTATTAGTTGTGTATCAGCTGCTTATGCCTGTGAGATACTCAGATTGGTTATAAATGACACACAACAGGTTCAAAAGTATAATATGACTTATGTAAAAGGGCAGTGGAAATTGTAATAGTTTTATTACTGCTGTATCATTTAGCAAAAAGATCTTGCTATGATTAGTACAGTAGTCTGCTACACTGAAGAGGGACATTTATTTGGCACAAATTGTGTGATGCAGAAAAAAAACATCCTTTGCTAGTTCAGTTTACCCTCTGAAGTTCAGCACTCCGGACCAAATAAATCACCTGTAAGGCTGGGATGGATGAAGCACCTCTCCTTCTGTGCTGCTGTCTCCCTACTGCAGAACCACTACCATGGAATTGTTCTCTCCAAAAAGCAGCAATTCTTGGTGATTAACACATCCTGAAATCTAATGTTGTGAAACTCATTGCACTATTCCCCATTATCATAGCACAGGCAGATGTCTACAAAAGCAAAATTTGCCAGACAACACCATAGAAAAGGAAAAGGAATTTAAAAATAAGAGTAGCATTTGGTATCAAGCTAAATACACGAAGGTTGTGTGGTATTATAATCTATTATATGTTATTATAACCTAGGTCTCCCACACTGCATTGCAAAGCCTTGCTACATGGCTAGTCTCGATGAAAACAACAGATTACGGCTCTGAAAATGACATGCAAACACACAGGCACACACTACCTCTGTAAACCAAATTTTCCAAAATCCGTCAAAGACGCAGCAATTACAAGACTTCTTTCGCAAACATAATTTTGGGCAGGGTTAGGACAGATTCAGAGCAAATACAGACGCAGACAGAAAGATTGTTGCTCTATTAATTTGTTGTCAAGCCATGCAGGAAAGGACGGCTGAAAGCCCGAAGATGCAGTAATGATTGTTTAAGAGCCATTCGAAAAAGTGACAAAACTGGCCTAAACCTCTTTAAGCCCCCTGAATGAAAAGATTTAAACAGGCTATTGTTAGACCCCTGGGTACCTTTTTTCTCTTGGCTTTGTTCTGCGTTTTCCTCCGCTGCAGTTTCCATGGCTGGCTTCATACCATCCACCAAAAATGCCGCCCCCCCCCTCCCCCCCAGCAAGCACTTTTTCTCTTCGCCTCCTTTCTCACTCCCTTCCGTCTCCTATTTACGGCGGCGGTGATTGAGTGGCTCTGTTCTCCCCTACAGTAGATTACAGTCCTTTCCAAAATGCCAGAAAAGTCTTGTCAGCTTCAATTTCGCTCCGCTGACTGGTCCACGAGGAGCCGTGCCAGCGAGCGCTCAGCCATACGTCACCGCGGTCCCCAGCTATAAAATTGCCATCCTGCGCCCGACCGTGCCCCGGCTCGCCGCGTCGTGGGGACCGCCATCACCAGCTCGCGCCCCCTTCCCCTCGCCCTCCGCTCTCCCCCTCTTTTTCCCTCCCGTCTCCCAAGGCTCCCGACGAACGTTAATCAATTCTCTCGGCGGTGAATGGATTGGCGACATCGGGAGGGGAGACGCGGGCGAGAAAGAAAGGAGCCCCCCCGGCCGCCGTGGGGCGAGCCCCCCGGCCGCCGTCTCTAAGGGGAGTGCACGCCGGCACACAATCGCAAGGCTGCCTTTCCCATGGGATCTTGTTATTATGCTTCGCATTTTGATTTATTCCACATGCCCTCTGCTCTTTCAAGGGGCGGGGGGCGATGTTTGCTTTCTTTGCCGACTAAGTTCCGCTCACCCACGGCAAAAGACTGCGCGAGAGAAGCATAAAAGCAAAAGTGGGCATATGTATACGTCCGTGGAAAATTTAAATTCTTTCTCTGACTGGCAACTGCAATGGAAAAAAATGCACAAAAAAATCCAAGCAAGCTCAAGTGACCTAAAATGCACATGCAATACTTCAAAGGATAAGATGTTTAAGAAAACACAACTTGGGTTTTAAAAGGCTGTCTGCCGTTGGAGACCTAAAGCCACGCTTAGAAGCGAGTGCAGAGCTGCTGTTAAGCACATGTTTGATCATTCCCCTAAATCCAGGCGGACTGCAGCACGATCTAACAAGCTGTACTAACGTGGCTCTGGGAGCAACAAAACCAGGACATGTCTATGTTGCACTGCGTGAGGTGACTTTAAGTGTCCCCAGGCTGCTCTGAGCAGCCCCGTGCTCACCACATAGGGGTATTATTCACCTTCCAAACCCCAAGATAACTGACATATTTCAGGCTGTACTGTTCTGAGGCTAATTAACCTTGCCTATCACTTTCCTTGTCTGAATGGCCTCGCAGTACGCCAGACTGCACAGGGCAGACATGCCCAAAGGCACCCCTTTTTGTGCGTAGGATGATGGAGCAACCATGGAGGAACGGCCTTTGTGGTCTGGCAGGCTTCGCTGGTCCAGCCGCCGCAGCCGATTCTGCAGGCTGCAAAGACTCCTAGCAGATTCAGCAAACGCTGGGGATGTTAAAACCTACACGCTGCATGTTCCATATAACAGATTCAACCGGGAGAGTGGGAAGAGGGAAGCAGTCCAAAGATTTGTAGCTGCAGTTCAGTCTCTTCTGGTTAAAGTTACTACACCCACAATTTTACTGTGCATTTTTATTTCTATAGATGCCTAGTGAAAAGCACAAAAACCCTCAGACCCAACCTTTAGAGAAAGTTCCCTTCTCTTGCAAGAAATCGGAGCACAAATCCTCTTCTCTCACCACGGTCGCCACCACTGTTGCTTTGCTTTGGCATTACTGCTCAGACACATGCTTCAGCCCAGCTGCCAAGAGGTCTTGGACTTATCCTAAGATTTCATATCATAGTATCAAAACTTGAGGTCAAGCATTTCCCTAAAAAGCTTTCTTGGAGTCCAGGAAAAGTCCGCAGTTGAAGCTCCCACCTCAGCAGACCTTTTTATAAGCAGGATGAAGTTAATCTGTAGAGGAGATGAAGTATCCTCAGGAACCAAGAGGAGGCAATGGGCTGGGTTCCTGAAGGTAATCAAATCAACAGGTCCAGCTGATACCTCAACCCAGGTGCAAGGCTGGTTACAGACTGTCGCCGGAGGAAACCCACTAACGAAGCCCCCCACTCTGCATCAGGGAGGCCTGCTCCTCCAAACAGCTGCACGCTTTCCTGCTGGCAAGCAGATTTTGTTAGGCAGGCTCAGGACTTCAGAGCAGATGTTTTACAAACACAAAACTAACAGGCTCGGAGACTATTCCCCTACTTTCTCCCAGGACAACCCCTTCCCCAAACAAGCAACAAAAAAGTCAGGGCACAATATCAGAATCAACTCCACAAGAGCTTGAAGTGAAGACTTCAGAAGCCATCAATCCCAACTATTCAAAAGCATTAATTCTACCCTACTAAATCATCCTCTAAAAGCTTCAAGTGATGCATGAGTGTAAAGTTCTCCCCTCCCCCCTTCTTACTGCGTTCCAGATTGATATAATATATGATAGGGTTTAAGCACTTATCTTAAGTAATTTCTTCATCTTCAAAACTCTGTCCCATCATTGATAAACACGGCAGAAAAACTATATGCTTTTCCTCCAGTGCTAACATGGGTGCTGATCTTGTGCTTTGAGCATTAATCTCAGCCAGCAAATTGTCTCATCCAATGCTCTCTCCCTTAATCAGATACATCCTTTTCATAATACGTGATGAGACTGGGAGACATCAAGCCTATGCCTATGACAACACGGCAAAAGACAAAGCCACAAAGGCAGAAATTACAAAAGATTCTTTGAAGACTGATACTCAGCAAAACCTTCTGTACAGACCAGGCTGATCTAGATAACCAGCAACCAGGGAAGGTGGCTAGTTACATTTCAGGAGTTCAGCCCAGCATTTTATCTGTAGACCAAAATGAAAATGAGGAGGGGGGCTGAGCAGTAAGGGCTTCTGCTGCTAAAGCACAGCTCTGAGTCTACAGCCAAACCTCAAGATGAATAGCAGTGGAGCAAAGTATGTGAAGACACTGCAGACTAAGACACATTTGCTGCAAAATAGTTTTTAAAAAAAAGGTTTTAATCTATTTTATCTAGGTTTTCAAAAAACATTTAATCATTTTGCTCAGTCAAGTAAAATAGCACAATCGCACAAGTTAAAAAAGGTATTAAAAACCCAACTCTGTTCGTGTGCCAATTCCTTTTGAACATCTATCTTTAATGTCACTGAATCTAGTTTACATTCCTGAAGGCTGAGGAGCTCTATCATAACCTACAGCAAATTCTTCACAAGCTTTCAGGAGATGAATACACACTTGCCACTTCTACAAAGGCTTCACAGAGCTGTAATAAAGAGTGTTCTCACATACTTCCAGCGCAATTTGAGATTAGCCTATGAGATCCAAGACTCAGAAGTTAAAATACAGACACTGTCCCTCAAACAAAACTGACATGTATTCCAAACAACTAATTTTAAAGACAACTTGTAGGATACTTTTTTTTTTTAAGGATATATGCAAAAATATTCAAGAGAAAGAACAAACAAACATGCAGTCACTTGGTGTGTGTCTCAACATAATTGCTTTTGTTCAGACCAGCTTTAGACCAGTTACCTAAGACTTGAGTATAAAACCCAATCTGAATGCTTATGCAAAAGCAGGCAAATTTTCCATGTGGATAAAATCAAAGCATGACAACAAGCTTTTAGTTGTGCATCAGTCATATACCTGGCAAGTACTTTAAAAAAAAAAAAAAAAAATGGGGGGCCTGTTCTTTCAGACATACTAAATTACTAGGAAAATTAAATCCAAATTAATGAACAAATAACAGTAGAAAAACCCTGCACTTTTACCACAGTAGAAAATACCGCATAAAATACTAAAAACCATGAGTCTGCACTGCACTTCGGGATCTCAGTGTTGGATTTCTGTAGAAATGGCAAAACTAAAGGCTTAAGCGTGGACAGTGGTTATCTTCGCAGCGAAAGAAAATCACCGAGTTAACTGATGCAGGTAAGTCCAAGAGGGTGAGCAGACCTTAAGAGTGTGAAGGTGCCAGTCCTGTGACCCCCTTAGTAAAGCCACAAGAAGATGGCAATAACTGCTGCCGATCTAAATGCCTGGCAGCAAGCAGGCAGACAAAATAGATGTCGCTCCGTTGTCGGGTTTCATACACTTCTCTGGCCAGCCTGCGAGCTTCCAGCTGGACCACTGCTTTAGTCCACTGCAGTAACAGTCACTGGTGAGAATCAAAGGCAATAAACAGGCTAAATCCAGAACATACGTGGATGGCTAACCTTTATTTGGAACATAAAGGGAAAAAAAAAAAAAAAAATCCCTTAAAGAGTGAATAGATGGTTCTGTACGGCTTTTCCAGTAGCTAAGTCTCATCAAGTCCTAGTCTCAAAGACGACTCAAACGTCAGAGATGTGAAAGCTACCAAAGAAAAGAGCCTGAAAAGCTATAATCAAAATCAAAATGAAAGCAAAAGTTGGTGATGTACTTAAGCAGCTGGGAGGTCCATTTCTGCTTATGAAAGGCAGTCAACAGCACAGAAGTAATTAAAAAAAATGCTATTATTTCTTTATCCTAACTAATGGCTTTAGTAAGGTTTTCCTGGGTGTAAGAAACTTGTATTTAAAAAACAGACTGGGGGAAATAATTCAGAACCCTGACAGACAGAACACGGCAACCTCAAGCACACCAAGGACTTTTGAGGAAAAGCAATAAAAATGAAAACAAAATAGGCTACATTTGAAACTGAGCTGGAAGCAACATCACCTCCTGCACCCTCCTCCTGTGAGGTTGCCTGGAGTAAGCACCACACTCTTGGCAAGCCAGAAAGAAACATGCTGACAGTATGGAGCCCATTTATACTACAGCTGAAAGCATGGAAATATAGGAAACAAAAGAAAAGACATCCTAGCATCTGCCCCAGAAGTAGCTTTCATTCAGCAAGCGACATTTTAGAGCACCAGCCCTGACTGTCGTCTTCAGCTTCTACTCCAGCTCAACAACTTTATGGCAACATGTATAGTTTCCTACAAGTGTAATGCATGGCAAGTTTCAAATACTTTAAATTTAAAACTAGGCAGTACAGCAGGAAGACGATATGCTCAGCTCTTTTGTCTTCATTCCCTTAATT